GTTGATCTGTAGTCTGTGTTGTGTTAAGGGCCTACGATATAATTTTCCTGGGTGGTCTGATGATTTGGATTACCTTGTGAGATAATGTATTAGCGTTGATCGATATCAAAATGGGTGCCTTGGTATACCACGAAGAGATCGGATCGAACCAGTTTCACTCAGTGTCAAGGCGCTGCGCTGCAAGAATCCTCCAGGATAAACCCATATGCCGCATAACTGGGAATGCACTGAGAAATCGAAAAGTACTATGTCCAACTTTTGCTAGAAGCTCTTTTCAGCGACTCGTTGGTACTAGGTTGGTCATTTATCGATCTGCAAAGTTGGAATTATATTTTCAGCTGTGCTGTGAATTCTTGCTCCGATGGAAAGTATTTGGCGAAACAACATCATGCTCGTAATAATTACACTTTGGTCTTCCCTCGACGCGGCACCACTGAAACGATGAAGTCACAATAGGGTAACGATGTATGGTATGTGGGGTGCGATTTGAGTAGCAGAGTAAACGAGCTAGCGGCCCCTAATGTTACGAGATTTTTCTGCGACTCCGGTTTAATCGAAACCACACCTGGGTTCTATAAACTTAGCAGCTTATCAATAACTCGGACAAGAGTTAAGATATATGACTTAAAACTCAAAATTCTGGTATCAGCTATGTGTATCAACTCCCGCCATCAGCACCACAGGAGTAATTAATGAGTCAATCAACACACCAACTGATCAAGGGAACTTGAGATATATATGCCGACCTTCGTAAAATTTCGATAGGAATCTTTGATAACATATCTAACATTGGCTAGCGCATTTCAAAAAGAATCAACTAAAGCAACGCCAGAAACAGGGCATCCAGCAATCTATGCCGCTGCGAGAAAGCTCGAAGTAAGTCAATCTGACACTAGAGTAGAGATGCCCTATGGCATAAGCAAGCATATTTCGCGGTTTTCTCCACTATTTCAAACTCCCTTATAGCGCGACTAACTAATATAGTCTTAACTTCAATTTCTTGGCTACTTGAAAGTCGACAGAATTCAAGAATTTCACATCATAAAACCTTGGTATCACGAATCACTGTAGAGAAAGACATACAGGATATTTTTTATCTGCTGGAAGAAATGCTGGGGTAGACAGAGTCTACCTAATTCCCAAATCACCACTATGTAAATTATCCTATTAGCGAGATTAGGCCGCACCAGAACTTAAACTTAGCTCTGTCAAGACCGCACGAACTCCTCTCATGAAATTCAAAAGAGTCGGGAAACTAGAAGAGCGGCCTTGGGCATTCATTTGTACTCCCATTTGCAGGTTATCGACCGGATTGGAGTCGCGGGTTATCATCTGTCGGAAATCTGATGGGTGCGGATAATCTATCGAGACTCAAAAATAGCGGGTACTCGCAAATTTTCGGGTAGGATTCTGGTACCCCTAGATGACTTGCAGGTGCCACTCGGTTTCAAGCTGTCAAAATCTCGATGGGTACGATTGTCACTCGCCAAATGCAGACTGATGGGATTTCACAAGCGCTCAAAATTGCACCGACCATGGGGTAAAAAGTCATTACCCGGTTCTCCGCAAACTCACTCACCGGCATACTTGCCGACGCCTGGATGTTTGTCGTTGCATTTGAAATGACCTTAGATAGCTCAGCCATCTATTCGCTGCTGACAATGAACAACCAGATACGATTCCCTGACTTGTACTCGAAGTTGAAGAGCAACGCGTATCGAGTGGGCATACCAATTGTAAACTATATGAGCTGGATTCGGACTTCCTAAATCACTGTTGTAGCCAACCTTCTCAATGCCATATTGGTTACAAGAAAAGGTTTGGTCAAAGATAACAGAGTAACGAACCTCACATTGTGAGTTCGGAGATAGAAATTCTTAACAAGCATCATGTGAAGTTTGAACGCAATCCACAAGTGATACCGAAGGTCCGAAGCACCATCAAACTTCGGATCTACGGTAAGTATAAACGAAGTGATCAACCAACTAGAAGCTCGTATCTAGGGTTTCGCGCTAGGGCTAGTATGTGCGCCATGTAAGCCGAATGCTTCAACCTTCGGCAAGGTTTGCCGGTCAATAATCGTAACTTTGACGTTAATGTCAAGGCGGGATGTGACTACGCCCAAAAAACGATGACGCCGGTAAGGTAGTTACTATTTTGGGGTCAGTTTTACTATTGTTTGGTGCGAGCGACGCGTGGTTATCAGTGGTGGTGAACGGAAACCTGGTGTTAATGGTAAGTGATGCAAAAATTGAGAATACAATGGCCTAGAGCTTGCCTCATAGATCAGCAGCGGTTATCCAAATATCGAGGAGATTATCGTTCGTAACATACTCAAATGTATCGTTTGGTACTGAGAGAGCAGTATTGATAGATCTGCCACTGCTGATAATACTTTCCATACTAAATCGAGTTGTTTATGCAGCCTATCCAGGACCAGGACCAGGTTGTCTTCGGCGATCTTTGCGGACTAAGTAAATGATATCGGCTCCCGTGTCATGAACTACCTCGTCTAGAAGAAAAACGGGATGAGTAGCATCAGTATTATCTTATTAATATAAGGTAATGTGAAACATCCACATGATCAGAAACCACGAATATAAAGAAATTAACAGTACAACTAACCTGGTAATTCAAAGTTTTGCCATCGAAATGGCAATGTATCTGAATCGCTTCAGTTGTGTTCAGCCACCAGTGGCTGAAGATATAGATAGGTACCTATGCAAGGATCAATAAGGAACAACTCGGAGTCGTTTCCGAAGCTTCTCTCAATCCTTCCTCCAATCCTCTTATTGGCGCTGACTGACATCTTCAGCGTCGTAGTCTCAGACCCCAAATCGCGGTACAGACCCAAGAATCACGAACCACAGATCAGTTCGCAGCAAAAGAACCTTTTGAATCGTACCGGCATCCAGTTATGCAGGTGATATTTCCAGGGTGATAAATGACAATCAATAGTTCGTTGTGCCGAGTATATCTTTATGCAGGGAAAAAGGGGTGTGCATAATATACAGTGTTATCTGCAAAAAGGCAAACACGGGAAATAACTTGAATGTTTGTTTTCCTAGGGGGGTTGGACGGACTTGACCTGACTGACTGTAAACTGGTATGAGAGGATGAAACATTGCCCTATTATTGAAAGCTTTGTCCAACGGATCTCATGCCAATTTCCTTCTTCAAAAAGGATATGCCCAATATCAAACTCGTGGTACACCGCTCTTCTCTGCATGAAGAATCTGTTATACAAACCAGTTACACTGTGTCTCTGTGTGTATGTTTGACGGCTACCCGCATAGATATCTTAAGGAAAGGATCCTGTTGACACATTTCCTAATCCCTCTCCCCTCCCACTGAAACTTCAATGGCTGTCACAATGGCACTCCAACCCCCCTTCTCTTCAATCTCAATCCCTGGTTGGATCTCTTTTGTTGCCAGCCCCCAATCCCCCCTCACCATGCAGTTTGATGGGTACGAACGTCGAATTGTGCCTCATTTTTAAATCAAATTTAAAAATGGAGTAGATTCATGGATTCCCCAGGACTCCAGGAGATGCAGCTGCCAGCCGTGATTAGATATAGATATACAGAGTAGTAGTGACGTGTTTTAACCAGAGGCACGTTGATAATGATGGTTTTATGGTCCATATCCTGCTGGTATATTGATATCGAGACCTCAATTTTTGGTAAAGCTTCTTGGTTTTCTTGGTTTGTTTTTGTGAATCCCTTCCTTACCTTGAAGATCATAGAATTTATAGGGTAGTACACACTGAACACAGGCCCAAATTGATGACACAACATATAATTTTTTTTTTTGCTGCAAACTCTTGAATTAATTTACTTATGGACGATATGATACGGTCTAGGTAGACCAAAGACCATACATAGACCATGAACCATGAAGTAAAACGGAAATGAGTTGTAAATCTTACCTATTCTTAATGGAAATTCAATCTCTTCTCTTTCGTGAAGTAATTGAAGTTTAATCAATTAAACAATCAAAATCATCTTGAGTAGAGTGGTACAAAAACTCGAGACTTCTAACTTCTACTGCATACTGCTTGCATACTTATATATATCTCCATATCATATCTGTACTTTTCTGATAACTGTATCTATCTACATGTACCTCCTTCATCCATTACAGGGAAAGCATATTCCTCTTTTGGACAATACATGTACCAGTTTCCCTCACTCACTCATTATAATCCTTGAAGAATCCTTGAATCCTTGAAAAACCCTTGAAGAACCCCTGAAGAACCATTTCCAAAAAACTCTTTTGGGCGTTAGAACTCAAACCTCAATGGTCGCCATTCTATCGGTGTCAGAAACCTAGGAACATTGGATTGACATTGGCATAACTCTGTATATTCTCCCATAAGGCCATAGGAGAAGAACTACCTAGGTTGATTTGAAGAGCTTTCTCCGTTGTTACGAACGGATCCCGCTCTTTAAACTCTGCCTCCCTCACTGACAACAATTCAGTTGTCCGACGACAAACAATCGGAAAAGGAAATTATCTTCCCTTAATTGTTTAATTGTACCTTTCTTTACCACATCAATTTCTAGTCAGTCCCTACCGTTTCACTCCTCCCGAGGAAACAATTTGTCCCGTAGCACGCAAACAAACTTTCCCCAATATTTCGGCTTGTTTCGAAAGAGAATCTATTGCATCAAACTTCTTTCCGAAGTTTGCTGCATCAAAATACATCCTAGTCCCTGGAGTGAATATATTACCGGCAGACAAAATCATCGCAGGAGCAAAGGCCGCAAAGAATAACCAAAAATCTGGAATAGGGGCGGTCAATTGAATGCTTTACATCGACAGAAGGTTTGCGCGCAATTGAAATCGAACCATCGAACCCTTTCGTATTGATCTAGGCTATTTATTCGCAGTGAAGGTGGAATTAAGTCAGGAACATTATCCTTTGGAGCAAATCTGCAATACTTATACTTCATGACGACTCAGCTGCAATTGTGGCCGCTATGCATACCATCGAGAAGATGCCGAATGCACCGACGAAGCGACTCGGCGTTGACTTAAATGTTGATACCGGATACAAAAGGAAAGCAAGAGGAAGCATCTCTCCCCCCCTGACACCGGAGACGGAGACTACTGGCAAAGAAGATATTACTTCATCGAACCAGGCGCTTAATCTACGGAATAGGACGGGACATACATTTTTAGATGACATTACACCACTTGATCCTTCCAACAAAGAACATGATCCTGAGAATGTACGAGATAACCGGGATTCCCACGACCTTTCGCTTTCTCCCCGACAAGTTACCCGCGACTCATTGGTAGATCATATGCTACTTTCTCTAGACCAATTCTCTTTCGGACAAGAAGATTTTAGTCTGCGAAATCCTACGCTTGACGAAGATCGACTATATTCCTCTCTCGGTGATGACGAACCATATCAATCGACTCAGAATTTCGCAGCTAGAGGTGGCAGAGGACACGCTTACTCCTACAGTTCCGACTACGATCCGGCCGACGATTCCAGTCGATATTCGGACAAAAATTCACGCGGTCGAAGAAGCAATAGCAGTTCCAATTTTCAAACTGGGTTGGCTAGAATCAATAGCATACGCAACGATATAGGCGGATCGCTCAGAGGACCTCCAATACCACCCCGCGGAGGGAGAAAAAATACTGGCAGTAGTGTGGGGAGTAAGGGAAGCAGTGCGAATAGTTTCGACCTTGGCTACGCACAAGTTACAAGTAATCAGAGGTGGGCGCATGGTTTGGCGGGAAGGTCTTCAAGCTTTGATTACGGCAGTGATAACCAGGCAACTTCCCCATCGAATGTGGAAAGACACAATATACATGGTATACCTCCAGTCTCTTCATACGACTACGACGCGGCCCCTACACCCACAGTACCTGGCGGTCCACGACGTCCCCGAGCTACATCCCCGATTCTGGTTTCGCGACCCGATCCTACGCTCATCGATCCTCCAATGGAGAAGTTAGAGAGGAAAAGAAGTGCAAAGTCCTCGAAGAGCGCATACAAATCAAGAGGGTTCACAAATCCTTCTAGGCATGAATATGGCCTTAACGATCGCAGTAAAGAATTACCTCCTATGCCGGCATTCATAAAAGAGCAATCTCCCCCAACTGGCGAGGGATGTCCAAAAACGAAAGATGCTCTCCAGCCTGCGCAACCTTCCGCCCAAGTGCCCAAGGATAGACCTGGTTTCTTTAGAAGAGTTTTCGGTTCTGCCAGGAACAACAATGTTGCGGTGCCCGAGCCACCACCGCCGTCGCACGGTTCCACTACATCCACTGAAACGGCTGACCGTCCAGGTAGCAAAACCCATGTTGCTAACCAAATGAAGTCTTACAACGCTGTACCATCTCGAGAAAATCCTACAGCCCCGAAAGAACACCCACATGTACTTACCAAAAAGCCATCGTCGTTCTTCCGTCGGCGCAAAAAGTCTGAGCCCGAACCTATTCCCGTTCCAGCAATGCCCATGCCAGTGCCACCTATGAAGTTTGAACCGCACAGATTACGACCGGACATTCTAGATCTACACTCTGAGGCTAGCCCCGTAAGTAGTCTTCGCCAAGTCATGAATCCATATCTACACGGTCCCGGGAGACCTCCAATTGAGGCTCATCTACCAACGGCTAGCCTTGACCGACAAATCAACGACATTTCCGATGATGTTGAACGTAGACGAAATGTTAGAGGCTTTTCTCCAGATTACGATCCAGATCCAAATGCCACAATCAGACAAATACCTCCTTCGAAACCAGCATCATCACATGCTGGAGACAGCCGCCAGGCATCGTATTCCTCAATCAAACAGCCACGTAGATCGGCAAGTACCAATCTGGCGACACCTGGTGGATTCGATGGGCAGACTAACCTGGAAGACCGTGAAACAATCTTTCAAGATTCTAGCGAGAATGACCGTGACGCGAAATCTGAGCTGGTGACCACGAAAGATGTACCCGGTGGTACATTATTACCTAGCCCGGGCTCTCCTAGTCCCTCTCTTTCAGTGGTAAGAGATATGGCTCTTGTTGCGGAATATGAAAGAATACACTCAAAACGTTCTCCAACGGCTTCCAAGGTCCCACTGAAACTCGAACCCAAGATAGTAGAGCATCCTTTGGATTCACCTCGCAGTACCGCAGATTCCAGAGATAGTCAGGAACTACCAATTGGTCCTTCCAAAGAAGAAGGTTGGGTAGTGCTTACTCCTTCCAAATCAGAGTTTCTAGAGAAAGATCGTGTTTGGTTGGAACCTGGATCATCGGAAGAAGATCTACCAGCAACAAATACTTTGAAACCCAGACACGCAAACTCAATTGCAGCTACAGGATCTACTGATACGGTCTATAAATCCGCTGTTAGTTTGCCACTCTTGCAAGTCGAGGGACAAGAAGAAGGGCCGCCTTCTAGTCCTCTTATGTCTGATAGGGAGGATGTTGTGCCATTCGAATACCCAGACTCGGAAGGAATTTTTGATACCCAACCCACAGAAGAAGACCAAGATAGAGCACAGAAGATTTACGATGGAAACGAGGATTTCGTTCAGAAGGAGAAGGCGACGGCATGGTTGGGAGATGAGGGACCTGCTCGAGTAAGGACTCTGAAAGCTTATATGAGCATTTACGACTTTACGAACATTAATATACTTGCTTCGATGCGCGTAATGTGTGGTAGACTGGTGCTTAAGGGTGAAAGTCAACAGGTTGACAGAATATTGGACGCTTTTTCGCAGAGATGGTGTCGAAGTAATCCCAACCATGGGTTTAAAGCTACAGGTAAGTTCACGACAATACTATATTTGCATGAAACTAACATGGTCAGATGTCGTGCACACAATCTGCTACTCGGTTCTTCTGCTAAATACCGATTTACATATTGCCGATATTGAACAAAAAATGACTCGTAGTCAATTCATTAAGAATACAATGCCTACGATTCGTCGAAGTGTAGCAGATTCCGCACATGAATTCGAGCCCAGTAGGCCAACGGTACTTCCTGGAAAAAGCTCCGCCTTCGATGATCCCAATGTTAATGACGAAAATGCCGACGCTGCATCGTTTGAAGCTTTCGAGAAACCCTCTTGGAGATCTTCATTCAAGCCTGCACCTCGCCAAGAATCTGACAATTCAAGCGCCCCAACACCTTTAGATTATGATACTCCCATGGACGATTGTGGTCCCTTAGTCAAGGCACCCTTCCGTGGAACTTTACGTACCTGGGAAGTGCAAGTCGAGATTGTTCTCAAGGATTTCTACAACTCTATCCGAAATGAACGTCTTCCATTATTTGGTGCTGTTGATAGGCCACACATACCGGCTACTTCATCTAGCACTCTTTCAGTGTTCACCAATGGTATGTTACGACGTACTCCTAGCGTTTTGAGCAAAGCTCCCTCTGAATCGCCAAGTTATCTTCGTGGAAGAACGGCGGAAACTGTGCGCAGCAACGGAAAGTGGAGCAACAAAACTCGATCGAGACCTCGACTATATCCTAACTCGGGCTTGGGATCCAGTCGAACTAGTTTGGATGATCAATCCTCTATGTGGAGTCCTTCGGTATCATCTAGTACCTGGAGCAAGTATTCTCTTGGCAAACATACCTCGATGTCTGTCGATTCTCTTGGTTCAGCGTTCCAAGGTGACTACCAACAATCTATTGGATTCGCCAATGCTCTCAGTCAAGCAATTATCCGTGAAGAGACGGTTCATAGTTCAAGCAGCAGGGGTAGTGATCATGAAGAACTTCGAGTTGCTCCTCTACTCGATGATGAATCTTTGGAACTTGCTGGCGCGCCATGGGCGAAGGAAGGTATGGTCAAGCACAAACATCACCTGGAAGCTCTAGACAAGAAATCCAAGGATCGTAACTGGAACGAAACATTCGCTGTGATCGAGAAGGGCTATATGAGCTTGTTCTCATTCTCCACGAAGAGCTTGCGACACAAGACTAAAGGTAAAACGAGTGGTGAAGTCTTCGGTGGTGGAAATTGGCAAGAGAATGCCGAAAATCTTGGCTCATTTCTGCTCCGACAAACAATCGCTAGTGCACTGCCTTCACCAGGATACTCTAAAGCTCGGCCTCATGTCTGGGCACTTTCTTTACCTACTGGAGCAGTACATCTCTTCCAAGTAGGTACATCGGATATCGTTAAAGAATTTGTTACAACAGCCAATTACTGGAGTGCTCGCTTATCAAATCATCCTCTTGTCGGTGGTATCAGCAATATTGATTACGGCTGGTCTGACGAGATCGTAAATAACGCCCTGGTCACCGCGATACACGAACAAAACGCCAGGCCATCAACTTCTGGTGCTCGACCAAGTATGCAAAGCTCTTTACGATCGAGTTTGGATCACGGTTATGGAGGTGGGATCAGGTCAAAACTGCCGGGTGATAGAATCGCCATAAATGATTGGAGTCCTCCTATCCAAAGCATGAGGGCTAGTAATTTAATGGAGCCGGATCAATTGAAAACATTGGCGGCTTATGTGCAGAGTATTGAGGAAGAATTACAGAAACATAATATGTTGAGGAGTCCTATGCTTTTAGCTGTAAGTTTTATTACCCCTTACTTATTATCAAATTCTAACTCGCTGAAAACAGTATACACCGCGTCACCCTAACGCCCAGAGAGCAATGGCAAATTGGGAGAAAAAATCCTCATACTTACTTCGCGAAATCGTGAAGTTTACGACATATATTGATAGTCTGCATGCAGCTGAAGTAGGCAGACAAAGAATTTATACCGAGAGAGCGGCGCATCGAGCTGTCGCTGAAAGAAAAGACGAAGAAGAAGAAGTAGATGGTGATACTACACTTACTGGATGAAAACTGCGAAAAGATCCTTGTATTAAAAAGATGAAGATACATTACGACGATTATGTATATACGACACGGATGACGCTGGGCTAAAACATCCCGCAACAGTGTGTTTTCTTTGATGGATGAGGAATGGGATGATTGACATGGAACGGGAAAGCAAGGACAGGCGTTTCGAATTTTTGTCACCGGGAGACTGAAACTCTTTTAATACTTTGACACCATTCCATTCCATGAGTGGTGGGTCTTCTTGTTAATACTTTGCCAACTTAGCTTGGCTACGATTTGGCTCCGGGCTGGCTCTATTTCTTGTTGACTTGAGGGGAAATCGAAAGGGCGCTTTTTTTAAATCTTTGTAATTCGAATGATTCGTTTTCTTTTGGTTCGTGCTCGCTGATGGTGGGGTTTTGATTGATTGATTGATTGATTCGTTGATTCGTTGAGGTTATACCCTGTTCGCTGTTGCTGTTGTTGTTGTTACTTGATTGTTTGCTTACTTGCTTGCCTGGATCCAATTATTTGGTGGGGCCTGGGGGGGTGGGGAGGAGGGGGGAGGAGAGGAAGAGGAAGTTGGCAAGAAAACATGTTCTTCTGGTTGGTATGCGATGGCCCTGTGAATAGCGAAGGGAAGACGGAGGGATGAGCTGGAGAATTCAAAAAGCTCGCTTGGCTTGGCTCGGCTTTCCAAAGGGGAAGAGAGGAGACAAGAGACAGGCCCTGTATATATAGATGTATGATTAATTCCTCTTTTAATTGCCTCGCTTAGGTTTGGGCTTAGGTTTGGGCTTAGGTTTGGGCGCGATGTAAAGAGGTGCGAGGAGGAGCGAGGAGATATAAGGAGAGTGAGAATGAGGGTGGAGAAAGATGAAGAGAGGGATGGAGGGGTGGAGAGAAATGTGGAAGGGGAAATCTATATACTCGAGTATATATATATGATATGATATAATGTGATATGCTAGCTAGCTAGTAGTGTTTGTGCTTATGCTTGTACCTGTTCCCAATGAATTGGAATGATATAATCACTAATCCAGTTATAGAATTATAGAGTAGAGTACAGTATATATACTTCCCATCCCTTCTTCCTCTTCCTCTTTCATTGTAATTATGAAGGAGCCATACCACGAACCAGCGACCCAGCGACCCAACCAAAGGAAAAAACGCATGCATATAGCAAAATCGATGAGATGAGGGCAATTCAATCTTCAATTTCCTTCGAGTATTATAATACTGTAGCCAGCCAGCCAACAATACATACCACACACCATACACACCACCCAGGCCTAGCTACTGCCACTACCACTCTACTCAATCCAACCTCTCAATTCGAATCCTGCATCTGCGCATACGCATACACCGAACCCGTCGCTCTCGGATAATGTTTCTCCAACTCCAACCGCTGCATCTTTTTCTCTAGCCGCCCCCGATCCTTCCTATTTTCTTTTTTGCCCCAGCCGCCGCCGCCGGGCGTCATTTACGATGAACCAATCGCCTTTGCTTAGTTTTACTAGGCCTCTTGGGCCTAGACTTACTATTCTTCTTTTTTGTTCTTGATCTTCTCCTTCCCCGGCTACTACCTTCCCTATTAGATTTACTCCGCTTGCTCCGTATTCTCCACCTTTTAATCCGTAGGGGGCTGTGACTCTGCGCTTGCTGATCATGCTGAATGTTAAGGGTTCTCTGCATTCGATTACCCTCCTGACTCCCAATCCCCCTGTATATTGCCCCTGTCCCCCACTGCCGTCCCTCATTGAAAATTCCCTTACTATAATCGGGTACCGCTTTTCCAATATCTCGATATCGGATATTCGCGTATTGGCATATGACAATGGACGGCACTGGCGCCATCCCACGTCGGTCCTACCCCCACACCCCCACATATGGTTTCGCCATATGCAAAACTATATCCTTGACCCGCTTTGGCATTTCGACCTCCGAAGAATCCAAGGCTGTTCATGCAGCCTTGGGATACAGCACATGCTTGGAACGCTTTGAGGATGACGTCGACGACGCGTTGGGATGTTTGTGTGCTGCCTGCGTAGACGGCTGCGTTTGCAGAGGGGTTTAAGATACTGCCTTCGGGATTGATGACGTTGATTGAAGCGAGAAAGCCTTAGTTGAGAGGAATGTCGTAGTTGATGAGACAGCGGAGACAATAGATGATGGAGGACAGACAGACGGATTTGGGGGCGTTTCCATTTCCGAGACCTTCGGCGCCGGTTCTTGTGAAGTCGAAGTCGACGCCTCCGTCTGCATGGATTCGAATAGATAGCTTGATGCGCGTGCCGTTGTCGAGTTTGTCCTCGGCAGTGAGGGCGGTGCCGGGTGTCAAGGTTGAATAGATGTCGCGAAGGTAGTTGCGTACGGCGTTTTCGGCATTTTTCTGGATGTGGGACATGTAGAACTGTACTACGGGACCGCTATACTCTGCGAATAGATCTTGAATCAGACTCGCACCCTTTACATTAGCCGCGACTTGTGCTTTGCGGTCCGATAAACGTCCTTGATGCTGTTACTTCCAACACAATCGGGATACTGGGCTGGATCTTCAACTAAGATTTTGGTGATTCCTGCTTCATCATTGCCTAGATTGCATGAGCAAGTTGTCCTTTTGAGGATCCACTGAAGCTAACCTCGTTTGCAATAGTCAAGAAAACCTTGCGCTGCCTCTCCCGGGGTGAGATAACCATCAATTTCTGTGTTGATTTGTTCTGTCAAGTCAACACACTCTGATCTCGTGATTCCATAGTCAAGGGGAAGATCCTCGTTTGGCCCGAAGGTTGCGGGAAAGTGATCCGGTAGCAAGTCGGCCCTGGAATTGTAAGAAATGAGTCTCGTAAAAAGGTACTGTGGATATATCCTACCAGAAACAAGTTCGCATCAGTCACTGTGAGAGAGCCACCTTTTCGATAGCAGGCAGGACCTGGATGAGCACTTGCACCCTCCGGCCCCACAACAAAAAGTCCATTTCTCCAACAAAAAATACTGCCACACCAGCAGCTACTCTGTGATTAGGTCAGAATAATTTCCATGTCGAATCGCAGGAAGAAATACTAACGTATTAATATCGAGCTGAGGAGATTGAATTGTTATACCAGCTGTTGTAGTCTCAAAGACGTGCTCAAATCTACCCCCGAAGCGACTCACTATACATTAATTAGATCTAAGTTCGGATAGCATCATAAAACATACCATCCGTTGAGGTACCTCCCTGTATTCCAATCAGCCTAGTTCTCTACAATGTTGACACTTCGGACGTACCATATCAAAACCTATCACTGGCACTTTATCGCTCTCGATGTAGCTTGTTTTGGCATAGCCAACCACACCTCCAGCGGGACCCGATAGGATCGCCTTGAGCCCAGTGAACCTTTGAATCATTAACTTCAAGCTTAAAACA